CCTTCTAGCCCACCTTCCCTCGGAACTGAATTCTAATTGGCAAGTGATAGTTCTGTGAAGAATGCATTAATTGCATCGTACCTGTATCAGAACTGGTGGAGACCATACGTTTTAGTGGACTGGATAAGCAACTTGACCTAAGAGTGATTAAACGTACGGCTTCCGGTGGGGGCATCGTAGCTCAGTTGGTTAGAGCATCAGATGTACTGAAGCCTTCCCCTTGCTGGCATGAGTTTGAAGCCCGCCGGGGCCGCCGAGGCTCGTGAACTTTATATTTTGCGTTGACGCAATTGGAAAAAAACTCGAGGCGTTCGGCGGGATTTGAACCCGCGTATCAGAGAAGGCCTTTACCGGAAGCCAACGGTCTAACCACCTGAGCTGCAAACGCCGAACGCCTCGAGTTTTTTTTCACAATTGGGTCAACTCAAATTAAGCAACTCTGCCAAACCTCCTAATAACTTTTTATTTCTTAGAAAGTGGACAACGCCACGGACAAAGACGTGGGGGATTTAAATAGTCACTTCTAGTCCACCTTCCCTCGGAACTGAATTGTAATTGGCAAGTAATAGTTCTGTAACGAATGCATTTACTGCATCGTGGTTTGCTGCCGTACGATGAAATCTCGGGACGTTGAGTACACATGGAAATGCGTCGTATCTTTCTTGCTAACTTCAAGACCTGCCATGTTGCCAAATAACAGAAGGTTCTAATTCAAGAGTTCTTGCTTGCGTTGGCGACTCCGAGCGTTGACAAAAATCTTTTTCTGGCTTGGCCTGAGAAAGGATACAAAAACTCATCCTTTCTGAAGGTAGTTTGATCTGATATAAACATATACATGCCCTCCGCTGCTTCCCGGCACTTTTTCCTAAGACAACCGCTAATACAGGAGAGGGGTTTTTCTGGTGGGTCTTTTAAGGAAACGGTCAGTACAGTCGAAATAGTGTTGCCAGCTAGATAATCATATTTACCGTATGCGCCTACTTTAATGTATTAAGTAACTCTGAGTTTAATTCAGCGCAGCTAAAGAAGTAGATATAAAAAACCGCGCCATCTCGCTGCACGCTAATTTTTGGCAGATAGTCAGGTAATTGGTCAGGAAACGGAATAGCCAATGCGCTTTCGGTAGTGTTGTCGAAGTCCCTTGTACTACCATTCGCCTATTAGAAGAGGTCTTACACCAGAGTGCTGCGCAAGAGGTTTATATTTTCACATTTTATCGATATTTTTTCCTTAGCGCCGAACACACTTCTTAATTTTATTTAAAATGGGGCATGTTCCTCACAGCAATCCTGTTGCCTAGCCCTATAAATATCTTGAGTTAGCATAACCTTTATACTAACATAAAGGAACACAACTTTCCTACCTCCGTTTTTTCCCCAGTATTCTATTCCGTTAGCACTACCTTTAGACCGTAGGATTTGGACTCAAGTTAGTCCTCTGGTGTGCAGCCTTGCGTTCTGTCATCACTGGCTGATGTTGTAAGAAAAAGGCAGGAATAGAAATTCCTACAGTTTGGTCTTTTGTAGGTGTTTTAGGAAGATTCATTTGACTCAATTGTGAAATATTCTGTGGCTTCGGTTGGATTCGAACCCCTGAAGCTATACATACAACTAACGCTCAAACTACCTGAGCTATGCGGTCCCACCGGGAGCCGTGAGTTTATTCACATTTGAATCAAGTTAGCGGTCCAGCTTGTCGAGTTTTCCAAAATCAGGTCAAAGGTTTATTCGCTTCTGTCAAAGCATATATTCATTAAATCAGTCTTATAGTCATCTGGTGGATCAAAGATTAATTGCCTAGGATATCCCGCGGGGACCTAAGCATACTGTGTCAGAATTGGTGGATTCCGATCGTACCAGTAAGCTGGGCGGCTAACTTGATCTCGTAGCTCAAATGGTTAGGACGGTGGCTGTATCTTAGGCCTATCCTTGCTATCGTGCGTTTGAATCCCACCTAGGCTGCCCGGTGGATCAGTCGGATCCCGTTTTTTACCAATAAAGAAAACTTTTCGATTGTTTTCTACCAGTCGCCAGGCCATCATCTGCTTCTACTGTGCATGCCATTTCCTACACGCCAATAGTGTTTTTAATTAGCCGCCTGTAAACTGCCTTCACCCAGTTTAATCGCCCACCCTTTTCCTGACCTTATATACGCGCGTCGAGAAATCATCCTAATTGAAAATGTTGTGAAAACCGTTAAGCTCGCGAAAGTTGCGCTAAGCGAATATTCTGGAGGTTTCATACCGCTCACATATGCCATTGGTAAATATTCTTTTTAATAGAGCAAGTGCCCAACTCATGCACTTGTTAAATGCCAGCGGTTGTCTATGCACCCCTTTTTGCGCGTTATTGCACTAATCATGAGCCTTGTCCCTGAGGTGTACAGTCGTCGGGAAAGAGTCGGCTGCTTCTGTCGATTTTTGGTACATGTTTGCATTCGACTCTATCGCACTTCGAAATCTACCAGAGCTAAGAGCAGTTAGGAATTGGGGTAACAAAGAACTTTGTGTTTATTGGTGACAGGTACGTACACTACATTTTCACTATTTTGGCTCACCCATCGTAATCGGCAGTGACCGCCTTCGCCGAGTTGGCGTCTGGCTGACGGATGCAGCGCTTCCCTACTCCATGCTCAGGTTGTTTGCATCTTCGCCCTTCACCGAAGTAGATTTGAACAATGAGTAAGAACAATTGAAACTCCGTTGTTATCGCATACCCTTTTTTGTAAACACTGCGAGGCGTTGGAATTCGGGTGGACGGCAAGCCAATGCGAGTAGAAGTCAGAATGCATGGATCTAGGCTTCATTTTTGATGCATCAAATGTACCGTCCGCCGTAACCCTCAGTGAAGCTACAAACGCCGCAGAGGTGACAGACCGGTGTGATTACCTCTCAGATACTGAGTTATGGGACTTAGTACTGAAATTTGAGCTAGAGCTAATCTTGTTTTCATGACGGTGTACATAAAGATGTCTTATCAGGAGTGTCAGCAACCGGGGGCGTGCGTTCACGGCACAGAAATTTGGCGAGGGAATGATCGATACTCCCAATTTATTCATGTGATGTTTACGTTGCTAGTACTGTTTTTGTTGTGGTGGGAAAGCAAAGGTATCCTGTTGGGCTATTGTGACCCCTGGGCGGTAGCATAGCCAGTGCAGTCAAGCTAACTGCACGCTTACGAGACAGTTACTGTCTTCTCGAGTGGGCGAGGCGGAGAAAGAACTCGAATCCTCTTCAAATCAGGGTTTGAATGAACCCTTCACTCAACGAAGGGCAGTTTCTTTATCTTAGCCTTTCAGGTTGTCTACAGGACACCATCTAACTTTTCCAAAGGCCTACGCCAACGGATGCTCGCAACAGCCGAAGCAGTAGCTATAAGGCTAGCAAATCCCGTGCTGTGTTGTCAGAGGACTCTCACACAAGCTCTTACACTTCCATGGCCTAAACCGACACCAGGTAGCGATAGCATTCCGCCCCTATCAACTAGCGGCAGTCTCTCAATCAACACGCTGACATGGCCTACATGCGCAAACCGACATAGTCCGCGGTCGCCAATCAGCGCCCGTGTTAGACAGTTATTGATTTTTCTACATATTCAAACT